CAGGAATCCTACGATGTCTGTCACACAAAAACAACAACATCAACAAAGTGATCAATTAAAAAGAAAATGAGATTGGTTTGTGAATAATTTCTTAATCTATTTTCATTTTGGACCTATGGAAATAACAATTTACTCTTGATAAACCACAATTAGGTAATATTTTCATTATTCTTGTTCACATTCGAGGTACCGCCATCTTGGTGCACTCGTTTCGGCCTCCATGAGCGAGAACCAATCAGAATTGGATTTTTTTTTAGGCCACTTTCAGCCCAATCCTGGCCCAACCAAAAGTGAGTTGTCGTAACTCTGGGTATAAAGGGACTCTAGCTCATACTTAAAGAACGATTAGATGATAAGATATTTCTCGGGGACAGTAATAATGTGACGTCAATCGGTTCTTTTCTTTTTGAAAAATTCGGAGCCGCAAACTCAACGATTTTTCAGCCGGTGTACTCAAAAATGAATATTATATATACGTTCACTGTTGATTGACTGGAAAGACGGAAAGATTGACAAAGAGGACGTAAATAAAAAATTTAAATCTGCGATTTAACTTAAAATCACCTATTCGTAGTTTTGCATAATCTAAGTTATTTTTTTCTCCAAAGAATATGGGAATATTAATCACAAGGGTAGGTGGATTATTTCATTCATGGCTTAAAAGTATCTCATTTAATTCGAACATGTTTATCAAAATGTGAGCTAAAATTATTATTTTTGGGTATTGAAAGGAATACGAAAGGTTTGGCCTAGATGTGAGACACTTGGATGAATCACTTACTGCCTCTGTTCTGGATTCATCATTTCTACATTTTGAGAGAAGCTCAAATAATTTTTTTAGTATCCGGTAGAGAAATCTAAACTGGGAATTTACGTCGGAGTAAATATTAAATAAAGGGGATATCGTTTCCAGATAAATTAACTTTAAATTGGAGCCAAGATGTCGAATGTATCGGAATAAAATCATCGAAAACTCGCTTGAATTTTAACGGTGGAGGAAAAATACTTCGGTTACGTTTGGCAACCATCGCATGGTGAGTGGCACGCACCGTTACACTTTTCAACTTTGACCCCTCAAACTTTTCAGTCTCCGGGGAAAATCCGACTGTTTACCTCGCATATGGCCCATCATGCTTATTACTCTCACAGGAAAACAGGCTTTCGGTGTCAAAAACACTTCTCTCGCTTTTACTGCGCATGAAATTGCTTTCTGAGAAAGGAAAAGAGTCAGATAGAGAATCTTCATTCGATACGCATCTTTTGAGAACCAGGCCAGTGGCGTGGCGTGCTTCGCGATATATCGATTGTTATGCCATTTAAACCTATGGAAATGGATCGATAGACAGGGTGATCGCAGCGAACACCTTAATAATCGATTCTTTACCATAGGTTTAAATCGCTTAACAATCGATACATCGCAATTCACGCCACGCCACTGAACCAAGCGTCTGCGCTCAATAAAAATTTTAACGGCGGGCAACTTATGCTATCTTTAAAGCGTGATGCAATTCACGATCAAATTAATATAATCCTAATTTTTATTTATTCCTTCATTTTTGTAAAATCTTCATTTTTCCCAAATTTTTTCAAGTTAAAAACATATATTCTTTGAATAATGCTTGTTCCCAACCAGGCCCGCTTGGGTGCTTTTTATAGGAGGATTATAATTAAACAAGTGGTTAGAAATGGAAACAAAATAATATGAACTCTGCAAAACGATAGTTCCGATAACGGAACTTGGCTGTTTTGAAAACGCCTTCAAATGCGGCGTGATACCTCACGCATTCCGGAGAGTTCAAATAGTTGTATCATTGCGCCTTAGAAACGCGACGGAATATTGCAATTGAAATAGCCTTCATGCACGCTGGGCGTGTCGATTTCCTTCGACATTTTTGCAGTGGTGAATGCATAGCTGAAGTACGCTCCAGCTAGAATTGTATTTAGCAAATGGGTGGTTTTTCTACGAGGATTAAAAATAAACGAGTAGTACGGAATATAACAAAAGAATATGAACTATGCAAAACGATAATCCGGGAATCGGAACTTGGCTGCTTTGAAAACGCCTTCAAATGCGGCATGATACCTCACGCATTCCGGAGAGTTCAAATAGTTGTATCATTGCGCCGTATGAATGTGACGGAAGATTTAAATGGAAATAGCCTTCATGCAGGCTCGCCACATCCCATCTCGGGCCCTGGTACCAGTTTTAAGGTCCGGGCCCAAAGCACAGGGGGGGGGGGGTCCGAGGGGCATCCCCCGAGAAATTTTAGAATTTATACGACTAATCGGACGCATTTTGAAGCTTCCATAAATAATTTTTTCATCAATTTCTGCGGAATAATTATGTTTTTTTTCTACTTTCAGCACAAAATACTTGCGAATTGTTGCATTCAAAACATCTGGAACATTTTTATTTTTATTTTTTTTTGGGGGGGGGCATATGATACTATTTTCAGTTCTAAGAGGGCCAGGCCCCCCTGGACTCCCCCTTCGTTTGTCTATAGCAAGGGAGTTGATCCATAAGCCATTGAAGTCGAGGATGCGAGACTCTTAGCATCTGACGACGGAAGAAAATGAAACGCAGTAACTAAAAATATCCCTCTGTACTGAAAATCTTGAAAATAGATAGAAATTTTCCACGAAGTATACTTCTTTGAAAATTTAAGAAGAGTTCTATAGTGCCCCAGCGTGTTTCTGAAAATCTATTCACCTGCGAAATTTTTAGGGTAAATTTTTCACTTTTTCTTACGAAACAAGGGTTGCATGTGAATTCGTAGTGGTTTTTCACGGGTAACACGGGCCCCCTCCGGGACCCGAGCCCCGGTACCAGGGACCCAGTATCCCCCCCCCCTTGTGGCGGGTCTGCTCCCAAGAATTTTCATCGACATTTTTTAAATGTTTTTTTTTCTTTGTAAAACAAAGGTGAGGAGGCAGATGACAATAAAAACTCTGCTCGGAGCGAAGATGCCGAAAAAAATTCTGAGACTCTCAGAAAATTCTTAGAGGGCAAAAAGACATTATTAACGTAATAGAAACACTGTCTTCATCAGCATGCTTCCTTTTGGAGAGGTGGCTGAAAAACATTCTGCGAGTAGGAATGAATAACTAGACTGAAAAAAATGTGCGTCGCTGCATTGGTTGTTTAGCGGGAAAGTATTACGACAACCTATTTTCCGTTTTAGTCCTCAATAAAAAATCCGTAAAAAAAAACAATCATAAACTTTCTTTTTTCATTTCCTGGTTTGTTTGAGGAAACAGTGCCTCCGCGCTGTTTATGAGGAAAAAACCCTCCCCATTTAGAATGACTCCGCAGGTTTTTGAAGCTATCAAAGCTCCCAATTTCCGGTTCTCTTTTTCCAAGGGCCCAGCAAAAAAAGAGTACCGATTTAAATTACATTCTTGGTGAATGCAGCAAAAATATTCATTTCAATTAGATCTCATTTTCGTCAAACAAAATATCCACTATGATTTTCAGGGTTGCCGAAATTGGATGATCATCTGTTTTTTGGACGGGGAGATTTCTCTGTGGTCTATCAGGAATATTCTACGAAAATTGCACTTAAAATATCAGGGATAAAGCATTCTCTGGAGAAATAAAATGCGGGTAAGCGGCATTTATGAGACACTGCAATTAATTACGTGTTTATGTAGTCTCACCATACGTATATATCTGCTGTTTTGGATGGTTCTTGTTGCAGGTTGCTGGTCAGCAGGATCAAAACGACAAAACACTCCTTCAAAACGCACGCCAGGCAATATGCGTTTCATTCTGGGGACATCAAGAATGCGTAGCATGAGAGTGTCGATTTTGTTGCTGACATAGTGTCCTCGTAGGATCATTTCTACATCCACATCCTGGGAAAAATCCAACATGCCAGGAAATACACCGAAGAAGCATTTGGCACCTTGGCGTTCTTCCGGCTATAGAGTAAAGGGAACTTAAAATACGCAATTCGAACTCATTCTTCGTTGGTTAATGTCGGCCAAAAAATTCGGGAGAAGTCCCTTGAACTAAGTGGAATCTCCATTTTACAAAGCAGCATTACCTGAAAATTACCGAACACGCTCATTTCTGAGTGTTGATCTATGTTTCAAGTATATGCAAACAAATATTTTCCTGGAGATTAGGAAACTATTTTTAATTGACAAGACACTCTACTCAATTACTGACCTGACAAATTAATGATATTAATTACTTATGGTTTAATTTAAGGTAAAAGTAAATTAAGCATAGACTAACTGTCTCGTTGGTTTGCATACCTGTGCATTTTTTGACGAATGAAGTTGTTATTATACATATAGTAGGCAAGACAATGAGGCATTATACTCCGTATAGGAGGCAAGACAATGCTTGATGACAAAATCATTTTCAACCGGATGAAAGAAGGCGAAAAAACGAGTTATTGATTCGCTGTTTTTGCGAGACCGAGACTCAGAGACTGTCTCGGTCTCGCAGTAGCAGCGAATCGACGATTCATTTTTTGGCCTTTTTTTGTCCGGTTGAAAATCAAATAAATTTGAGGGGCTTGAGCTTGAAGGCGGATAAGTGCGATTTTTGAAAAAAAAACTGAGATATTAATAATTTCAAGTAAAAAAAAGTCTTAATGCATATTCTGTGAAAAATTCTCTCCCAAATTCCAATTTCTAAGCATCAAAAAGTCAGTTCGAAATTTCTCTCCGCCAGGATCCATGTAATTTTGAAACTTCTAACACATATTTCTCGAAATGACAAAAACTGCACTTGTGCGCCTTATCCTCCAAGTCCCTCAATTGTCGTATAATTCGAAAAGTTCCGGATTTTTTTTTTTTTTTTTTTTTTTTTTTGTCTTTTTTTTGTCTTTTGTGGTGTTGTGCAGGCTTCTCCCAACTTAAGTTATCATCATATAATGTGTGGCTGATTAAGTTGTTCTTCATTCTTAGTTGTTATTACACTTACATTTATGGATTTTCATCCTAATGGGAAAATCTGACTCAGGCCCGAATATACAAATCTCACTTGGTTATTATGCGAAAAACTTTATTGCAATGAATATTTTTACATGTTTTACACGTTATGTACATCTAGAAAAAAACCATGATTAAGACGCGGCGCAGACGCGAACTGCCACCAGTTAGCTGCGCGTTAAAAATAAAATCCGATTCGATTGAGCCATTTTGGAGAATTTTGGTTGAGGTAGGGGTAGGGTCGGCGGCGAGACGGTGCCTCACTTGCCCATACGCTGGATGGACCATTCCTGCTGGCAGAGGGGGCAGCGGTTGTTCTGTTTCACCCAGAGGGAGACGCAGCAGTAGTGGAAAGAGTGGTTGCACTCGCCCCACACGACGACGCAGTCCTGCCGTCCGTAGCGGGAGTCTTGCTTGCTCTCCGCCTGGCAACGCAAGCACGAATCTGCAACAAAAAAAAAGAAACTCATTCGTATTGCACATGCACTCCTCCAAGGATTGATATTGTACTTCGGTCTCGCCTGAAGGTGAATGGCCTGTTACGAGGGTGCTAATTGGACGTATTTCTGCCAAACGGAACTATGTGCATCAAGACATGAGCCCTGAGACCCATAAGAATATATGCATAACAGGGCTCGCGTCATGATGCACATAGTTCCGTTTGACAGAAATACATCCAATTCTTCTCGACTAAGCGACCAAATTGTGGAATTTTTCTAACAACTTTGAAGACTGAGAATTTTTGTTCAAAGATTCTCGAGTTTTCAGATTGTCAACTCATAAAGAGTGCTAAGACTTTGGCACACATTCTAAAATTAACAAAAAAATTCAATAAAAGTTTAATCAGCGCGTTGTATTGACCTTTTTGCGAAAACCCAGCGCATTGTAGAAAATCGCAGAGGCCATAACAAATTACACTCGCAGACCTGAGTGTGAACGGCCTGAAGGTGAATGATCTGAAAGCGAATGGTGCAAAGAGCATAATGGAAGGTGAATGGCGGAAGAAAAGGTACGAACTGAAGCTTTCAAATAGGTGATTTTTTCCTTAAATTTCACATTCAGCACGGTATGCGCAACAAAAAACACTGGACTTAAATCCTAACCAAGGTATTAAAGTTTGTACTTTGCCTTGGTTACAAAACATTTGAATTTTCCGCTTAAAAGAAAAACCAGAATCTCTGTGAATCAAATCACACACTACAATGGATTTTGCAGGCTTCTTGATCGATAAGTGTACCTTCTCCAACCAGAGTTTTTCAACAACATGCAACAGTTGAGCCAAAGCGCCGAGATTGAGGTTGCCATATTTTCTTTCATCAATGACTGTCACAGTCACGTTTAGTGCGCACTTTAACTATATCGTCTTTTTTTATGAGCAAGATGTTCGAATTTGTGTGTCGAAAAAAGTTAATATCTTGGTTAGGAGTAACTTTTATTCATTCTCGTTTCACAAATCGTGTTCTGCGAGAAATTTTAAAGAGAAATCATGTATTATACTGCTTAAATTCGCACCTTGTCTAGTGATTCATTGTGCTACACTTTTCGATCAGGAACGTGCGACTGCGGCGCGTGAATACAACTATTCGTACTCGAGGGATGCGTGTATTGCATAAATCAAAAGTTGAAGGCGCTTTCGCTTCCCTTGCCGGCATGACGCGGTGATAATGCTAGTGCATCACATTTTGCGATGTAGAACTACTATTTCTTGCTAATAGTAGAAACGATACAAGTGTCATTAGTTTCCGCGTGTATGTGTGCTTTATAGACGAACCAGAAATGGTCGTTTCTTACAGCAAAATGTAATCAAAACTCTAGCTTATTGCTGCGCTGCGGAAAACGGCGTAAGCACATTTGGGAGTTCCAAATTTGCTTTAATTAAACATTTTCTAGAAAACCTGAACTATTTTTCTTTGGATTTTACGATAATTTTAGCCGAAATTTCTTTAAAAATATTTCCAAGAGGAAAATTACACGTAACTTTGTATAACTTGTAAGGCAAATGGTTTCTTCGATTTTTAAATTAATTCTTCTGATTTCATTGAAAAACACACGCTTCTGTCTTTATTTGGCGAGAGGTACGTCAAATAACATGAGAAAGTTTCTTGCGTCACGTTAAACGTAACGAATTCTCAACCTCGCTGGAAAAAAAAACACATTTGATCTAGAGTCCAGACTCTTAAAAACATCGACAAGAAAAAATACTCTTGATTCAATCAGATTTAAGCTTAAATCAAGAACCAAGCCTCTTAATTTGAGCGGATTTCCTTTTGATTTAAGCTTAAATCTGATTGAAGAGTATTTTTTTCTTGTCGATGTTTTCAAGAGTCTGGACTCTAGATCCAATGTGTTTTTTTTTCCAGTGCTTAACAGAGCTATACGCAGCGATAACGAAGTATGTTTCGGTTGCTCACCAAAAGAAATTATGAAACCACGTATCTTGATTTTCAACACATTTTCAGTCCCTTTTTCGAGATGAAATTTTATTTGCTTGTCTATGGGATTATCTTCAAAAGGTTAAGGTATAAGGTATATTGATAACATAACTACTGCCTTTAGAGGGCGGAGGGGAAGTTCGAGACTCTGCAATTGAGACGCGTTGTTTCATGGTTTAAAGTCGATATGTTGACTGTCCAACCCTGCGTTTTCACTCCAAAACTCAAGTGAGAAAGGCAGAGGCTCCCGAAATTAAATCAGCTTATGCGGTAGATTGGATTTCAAGTAAACATTCTCTAGCAGATTAGCAAACTCTTACAACTGCTTACTCAATGCAGAAACTGCTCGGCATCAGACGATTCCCTGACCGGTCACGCGCTTACGCTGTACGTCGTGTCAAGAGGGTTCCAATATTAAAGAGGTAAGAAGAAGAAGAGAAAATAAAAAACAAACGGAGAGAAAGGGGGAGAAAGCATAACAATAAGTGAAGAGTGGAAAATTCAAAACCTTCTAAGCGCCATCAAGTGTTGCTAAGATTGTGCGTGGTGTTCCGCACTATGAAACGGCGCAGATGCATTCATTTTACTGACTCGATATTGGGAAATCTTCCCTGGATTTTGGTCTTATTTTTAAGACGAAAATTATTATTTTCCAGCCCTTGGATTTCCGTTAAAAGAGGGGGAAAGTTGCGCATTCTCAGCAACAACTGCCGGCGCTTACCACGTTTCGAATTTCCACACTTCAAGTAGAAAAGCCAACACACACGTCTCAGCATGATAATTCATTTTCCGCGACAGTCCCACGTTGAAGTCCGTTCGGCGGTAGACATGACATAGCCAGCGAGCCTAATTTCGCACTAAAAATAGCGCGAAACAAACGATACCCGCCACTCCACTCCCGATAAGTATTTGAGTGCCTCCCATGATTAGAACGCAGTTGAGACTGAGCAGTTGAATTACCCGTCCAAAGACCTCAGTTATCTTCCCCTCTTGTGGACTAGACGAGCGATTCGGGAATTAGTCCCAATTTGCATTGGATTATTATGATTACTGCCCGGGTCGCGCGTCTATCGAGGAGAATGAGGATGATTTTGTGGAGAAATAGAACCCTCCCACGACTGAGTTGCGCAGTGGCGTTCAACAGCGAAGTCTGGGTAGATTGCCTTTCGGCAAAACTGATTGGAGGATTTGGAATGAGAGCACCCCCCCTCCCCCACACACACACACACTAAAGTGGATCGTTGGAGTTCCTGGGGGAACGTTGAAAAAAACGTCTATACTAATTAACATTTAGGGAGGGGGGTGTTCAGCGATCGGATGTAAACACTGATTGGATGGTATGAATTTCACCCTACGTGTTGTAAAAATATCTTCGAGATAGTTTCTTAAGCAAAGGTTCAAATAACTGTTAAAGTTTTTAGGTATGTAAGTTAGGTACCTTTTAGCTCTGGGGTACTGATATGTATTAATAAAACCGCCCGCAACTGATTCTTTAGTGCACCGGAGACCATAGGCGGTTCTAGACCTTCATGTTTGGGGGTGCCCAGAGGTGGAACATGTCGGAGACCGGCCCCAAAGGGGACGGTCGCTCAGGGGAGGACTAATTTTCGGCCCTCAAGTTTTATCCTATTCCTACCCTCCTTTCTCTTTTTCTCTCCTTTCTTACTTAAATACTTATAAATTCAACGTAGAAAATTTTTAGCAAAACTTTCCACCAAAACTACATTCTTACCATAAAAAAACAGTAGAATCTTTGTAAAACACGGCTATCAATACATATTAATTCTGTTTAAAACATTTTCAATTAATTGCTGGGATTTTTTTCAGTGTGAGCGAATACAGAATCTTTGAAAGCAGTAATTTGGTCTTTTTTAGATCAATTTTCAGATTTAAAAAATTCATGAAATAAAAATATTGCCAATTTTTTGCGCTTCATAATACGATTTTTTCTTGACGTGTTTACTTGCCCAAAAGCCTCTTTCACGGTTCCAGTAACCGTACTTAATTTTTGCTTGGGGGTGCCCGGCACCCACTGGCACCCCCGTAGAACCGCCTATGCCGGAGACATTTTTCCGTCAGGATCTCAAAATCCTGTCCTTCAACTCAATTCGACCAAAAGTCTATTGTAAATGTATGTTGCTCACATGGACCAAGGGGTTCATCCGGCAGTCTTGGACTCCTTTCTCCTCTCCCTCGGTAGCTAGCATAGCTTGTGGACATCTAACGTCCTTATTTGGCGGCTCTTGAGGTTCGACGATAAAGGCCGGCTAAAAATTGTTTCTCCAAAGATTCCTAGGGAACCGATCATAAATGATGTCTCGTACTTATCCCGATTGTTCACCCCTTTGGTCCCGATGCATGACCCTATCTCTCCCTATCATCCTTCCCTGAAGTAGTTCAAGAGGCAGCCCTACCCCTCCTAGCCCCGAGTACATATGCTACGTGCCTCACGCATTGGCGGATCAAGAAAATTGGACACATTGTTTTTCCTCCATTTAAACCTATAGAAATATATCGATTCTTGGAGGGGCCAGTTGCACCGACAAGAATCGATTTTTTAGCATAGGTTTAAAGGGAGGAAACCCGGTGTTGCCAAACTGCTGGATCCGCTTCTGGCTGACGTCTATTTAAGGGCAGCCCTTAGGGTCCTCTGGTCCTTATTCTAGGGGTCGCTCACAAACACCGCGACAAATAAATTGCGCCATCAGCACCAGCCCGCCGAAGCGCGATTAATATGATGGCCCGGCTTGAAAAACACGTCCAAGAAAAGCGACGAGTGATTGGCAGGATCGGATTGATAAGAGCCCCCGACGACGAGAACGATGCTCGTGATAAGAGTCTCTTGGCTCTCTCTCACGAATATCGAAAAGAATTATAAATTCCATCCGCCCGTGTTTTTCGTCCATTACACTCGAGGCCCTATCGATGACAGGCACTCGCTCCTAGTTCGCGCTACTGCGACAACCACCGCCTTACAACAAGTGTACAACGAGTCCCGGTGACTCGTCGGAAA